CATACATACATACATACATACATACATACATACATACATACATACATATATATATATATATATAGGCACGCACGCACGCACACACACACACACACACACATATGATTACTACAACTCCATAAGCTTTGATTAGCTCTGCAGATAAACTAAAGGTATGAGCCGTGGTTCTCCCAACATTCCATTAGCATTTTTGGAAGTAATTCAAAAGATTTAAATACTCCCCTCATTAATCCACTATTTCTGATCAGATAAAACATGTCCAAAGTTAATGAGGTTTTAATTTCACTTTATTTCAAATCAAAAGCACTATCATATAACACCACCACTCCAAACTAGGGTCCAATAATAAATCTGAGCCCATTACTTTGCACATTTTAATTAAGAAGCTAAGCTCAGATTTAGCTAAAGTCTCCCAAGCATGAGAGGTACTGCAGCTAAATGAGAATCTTTACTGCAGTTAGAATGGAATTGTTAAGCCACCAATTTCCTTCTGTCAATATAGGGTACAATTCTCTTTTTTTTACCCATGGCAGTTTAAGGCTATTACTGCTTTTCATCACCTTTCTCACATTTCAAGAAATCTTTACCCTACATTTCATGGCCTTAAATGATTATTGATTGTTGACATAACTGATATTCCTGCTACCACTGATAGGTCTTTCCTTATGTCCATGATTAACATTAATCCATCACTATTAGTTTGAGAAATACACTAGAATGGCATTCTCACCGAAAGGCACTGGAAAAGAACAGCTGTGTTTCATGTGGTGAAACTGTGGTCTCCAAGTGCCTGGTGCAATCCATGATATCTTCACAATCAATCCAGAAGTTTAACAGGTGGCTTCCTAATGTGTTATGGAGGAATTCCATAAAGTCTTCCATACCAGCTCTCTGCATTGTAAAAAAAATAGAGGAAGAAAAAAAAACAATGCGAATGGAGGTACCTGAACAAGGAAATCTCAGCAACAGCTACAGTACATATCTAAAGATAGGCAGAATAGCTTAAACGTGCTTTTAAAAACCTCTTGTAGTGCCTTGATTGATTGATTGATTGATTGATATTTTTATCCTATCTTTATTATTTTTTATAAATAATTCAAGGTGGCAAAAATATGAAATACACTTCCCTCCTCTTATTTCCCGCACAACAACTTCATGAGGTAGAGTAGACAAAGAATGCTTTAAGGTCTGAGTATTAAAGACATGTTCACATGGATACATCAACTTTCAAGGCCTAGGACTGTGATGGTGAACCTATGGCAAGTGTGCAGAAAGTGTCACGCGAAAACAGGTCGCCTGGCACGCAGGGCCTTGCCTGTTTGTCTTCCGGGCTTCTGGCATGCATGTGAACCCAACAATCAGCTGTCCTTTGTGTGTGCGGCAGTGCCAAAAGTGGTGTGCACATGCGCCCCGGCCAGTTGTTTGTCAGGAGCGCATTCGTGCCAGAACCCGGACATTCGGTTTTTCCGGAGTGCAATCCCTTTGTGCACGTGACAATGCTGAAAACCGGCCTGTGCCTGCGTACTGGTCAGCTGATCATCGGGCACGCATGCACACTAGAACCCAGAAGTTTGGCTTTTCTGGAGCGCAGCCCCAATGTTTCCATGCAATGTTTTTGGCGGTGCCGAAAAAGTTCGCCATCACTGATCTAGGAGGTTGGAGTTAATCCAAAGCAATTGCTTGTTGTTGGGAAAGAGATGTGCCACAATAAAGCATTGTGTAATCTGCTACACCAGAGATCCAGCACCAGTCCATGGCATGCCAGAAATTGGGCTACGCAAACAAGCAAAACTCCATCCACGGGATGCAGGCAGCACACAAAACTATGTCCCCACTGGTCTGTGGAAAAACCTGTTTGCACAGAATCAGTCCCTGGTGCCCAAAAGATTGGGGCCATTGTGCTACACTGCAGTATATCAAATCCTCAGACAGCAAAGAACTCTCAAAAGCATAGAAACCGTTTAAAGTAAATATTTGTTTAGTTAAGTATTTCAGCAGGATGCAATGTTACCCACAGTTCCTAGGACATCTTCTTTAAGTTGCTGCAAAGCAGCACTTCCAGAACCCGAAGGGAAACACTTGTCCTGTTGCTCTTCCTTTGAAATAATTGTTTCTGTCAGGTCAAATTGTAAAACCTGCAGGCATCCTGAGAATGGCTTCTCATAATTACTGGAGGAAAATATAAATCAGGAAGTCAAAAATACATAACTGACAGGGAAAACCTTTTTTTGCAGATTATAATGACGACACATGACTATTTCTATGGACCTGCACACAATGTCATGATTGAACTCTGACACGATAGAGTGGCTATGATTTTTTTGCCCTACCGTCCTCAGGATCAGATGATTTTTTTATCTTTGACTCTGGAAACAGTGGCACTTCCTTGCACAATTTGAGCGTGCTCATGGATTCATAGCTCCTGCTTGAGGAGCAGGTAACAGCCATGACTAGGGGGCCCTTTGGTCAGATTCATCTGGTGCACCAGTTGTACCCTTTGCTGGATTGGGAGGCCATGCTCACAGTCACTCAGGCCTTGATCATCTCCCAGTTGGATTTCTGCAATATGCTCTACCAGCATGTGCCCTTGAAGACTACTTGGAAATTTCAACTGTTCCAGAATGTGGCAGTGTGCACAGTAATGGCAACACCTCATGTAACACTTCTATTGCATGAGCTTGTAGTTACTTTCTGGGTGTAATGTAAGGTACTGTAATCGTTTTAAAAAGCTCTAAATAGCTCAGAGCCAAGCCACTTATGAGACCATCTTTCCCTAAGGATGTCTACTTGTCCTACCAGGGAAGATAGGAAGTTCAGCACTCCCCCACTATTTTATCCTTACAGACTTAGCACTTCCAAGAGTTGGTAGATTAGATAATGGTATGTTTGCACAGACTGGTGCCAGTTTTTTTTTAATGTTTTATGCTTTGTGTTTTATGGTTTTTAAAATGATTTTATTGGGAGCCATCCAATGTTGTCTCAAAGATGGGTGGCTATGTTTTCCAAAGGAGATGGGTGATTAATAAATATGATAGATAGATAGATAGATAGATAGATAGATAGATGGATGGATGGATGGATGGATGGATGGATGGATGGATGGAT